CGTCGCACGCGGGCAGCGAAGCAGCTTTGAAGTCCTGAAGGACCCTGTGTGGCAAGATTACGCAAAATCCCGGATTTGAGAGGTTGGGAAATTGATAAGGAAAAGTTATGTCAAGTATGTGGAGCTAATTAGAGAACAGCAGTAACTCTAATATATGCAATAGCTCTGCTATAGGGTACATCATAAAGTTTTTAGTACACTTTTTTAGTGCAAATTTCTTAAATACACTTCAGTTGCTCTAAATCTAATAAAAAAATAACATTTTATATCAGTGATAAGTCAGCTGTAAAGTGCATTTAAATCTTTATTTTTTTATTTTTTTATTTATTTATTTATTCGGCTTACAAAGAAGCCAGGGTGTCCCAACTAGTCAAAGACTATTACTAAGGGACACCCTGGGGGAAAGATGAAAATTGTTTGACATATACATAGGAATACATTTTACACATTACATACTTAGTGAGATATACATCATTAAAAATCTTGATACATTTTAGCTGCTGCTGAATTAAACAAGAGTGACATCAATATATAATTTTAGGATATCCAATAACTGCAGTAAACTGGATGTTGAGTTTCCTATAAACTATTTGTTTCTTTTACGATGATAGCATCAGTTTATGTTAATTATTCCATAAGCAAGCACTTCGTATTGGCTTGGCTATTAAGATCTCAATTATTGGAAATTGGGCTGAATAATTAAATTGACAAATGGCGATGAACAAACGAAGAAATTTGCTAAATGACGTAGAGCTGAATTGTTGGTAGCCACGAAATAGCTTCAGACCACAGCGATCTCTAAGCTCGGAAGTATGTTGTTGGCGATTTAATCCAGTGGTTTATTTTTAGTACAAACTTGTCTGTTTTACGGGTCGCGGCCATGCCGTAACCCTAGCTACGGGGCAATTTGTCTATCCGAAATTAACCGTATAAATCCTGAAAAATTAACCTACAAAGTGTCAAGGCTGATTATCGTCTACTTTGTTCAGGGTCTTTTTGACACTTTGGCAAGGCAGGGTTTAGTACTTTATAAGACTTGAATGTTGATTGTTGTATAGTAATTAACGGACTTCTAACAGTAGGTATTTTTAGCACTATATGTGTTTTATTTCAAATTCATGCCCGAAGGCTAATTGCAGGAACAGAAGAAACATTTGGTATAAAAACAGACAATTAATACACAGAAAACTACTGATATAGTGATAACTCCTAAAAACTACTGGTATGGTAGAAAAAAAAGACTGTTGTGTACTAATTAATAGACTTTTGACAACAGCTATTTTTGGTTCTAGGGTCAATTTTTTAACTCAATTGTACTAAAATATAGTACTGTTCCCACTGTACATAGACTGTTCCATTTTTGACAGGGGCAAATATATTAGGTATAATCTTTCAATTAGAAATATTTGGACGTGTCAAATCTTTCAGTCAATCGGCTATAAATACCCACAGGGTAAAGTAATTGTGTTAATAGCAAGGTTCATAAATTGCGTCGGTCGACGGTTACCAAAGAAAGGTTTGACATGTTTGGACTAAAGAACAAACAATACTTCATCATCTACTTGACCTTGAGATTGGCAAGGTCGCAAAACAGGACTACAAGATAGAGAGGACAAGGTACAGGGTAAAGTGTCGTAATCTTCTACACGTTTTGGGCCTCCAGAGATGACTTGTTTTTTAAAGAAAATTGAAGGTTGGTTTAGTATTCTTAAGTTTCATGTTTTCCCTGGTAGTAGCCTCCTGTTGTTTGGCTCCTCTGGTAATACCTACAAAGTCAGGACAGATAAATCTTCAGGAATTTCAGTTATTTTCCCAACAAATTACCTGCTGACAGTAGAGTTAACATGCCAAAAAGGCTGGCTAAGAACCATGCTGGAAAGCCACGAATCCTGTATGTGTATTTCAACCAATAAGGGAAAATATATCATCTGCAACTCTTCAAAAATATGAAAGTGAGAAAGTTTGGAATTTGATTTAGTGAAGGCCCTTGGCAAGTGTGTTACTGGGTATTAGAATAGAGGCAGGCAGATTGAGAATTTCTGGTATTTTCCCAAGTAATTACCTGCCTACAGATCTAGAAGCATGACATGCCAAAACATCTAGCTTACAATGCCTAAAATTTCCTAAATCCTATATATTTCAACAAGGAGGGTTTCTTCCACTTTCTAGACAGGGATGTGAAAATGTTAGGAGTCTGAATGCTGGCCAACAATTCTACCAGTTGGATGCTTGTTGATTAGAAGGTACAGTACTTAGTCTAGGATATTATACCACCAGTGTAGACAGGTATGGGGTCTGCATGCCCTTTTTCGTAAGGCGTAATCAGGCCTTTTTAGTCTTCGGAATCTGTAGGCAGCCTTGCCAAGAATCAACGTAGTTCGTAAAAGTACAATAGCCACAAAGCGTAAAGTCGTAATCAGCTCTGAGACTTTAACGTAATTTGTAATCGACGGCAAAATTTTTTTGCGTAATTCGTAATTTCAATAACCCCCCATGCAGGCCCTCAGGTATGGGGGAAGTAGAGCAGAAATAAGAGGATTGCTCAACCAGGAGTCGCTGAGATTTTTCCCTAAGCCAACTTAATGCGACCAGTTATATCCTCTTACATGTATGTCACGCTTTGCCCATTATAAGCTCTTCTCTCGTAATCCTTTGATATCGCTGAAGCTAAAAGAAATGTTTTTCAACAGTTCCTGTGTAAGGCCACACCAAGTAAATTTTATGGAAGACGTCCTCGCGCGCATTGATTTTGGACTGTTCCTAGAAAAAAAAAAAGAAATTCCGCTTCCTGTAACTATGACCAAAGAGTCACGACAGTGCCGCAAACGTGAAACCCGTAACGCGAAATGGGTAGGTCTGCAAAATGTGAAAGAAACAGGACAGGACGACAACTGCCGTTCCACCTGATTTATTTCTGTTTTGATGATGAATAAAAGACTTCTTGCTTGTTAATCTGTGTCACCTCATTCAATTTGTGTCCTAACATTTGTCGTAATTTAGTATATTTCTGATCTAGGCATCTTGTTTTTTAGGGCCCTTCTTGTTTTTTTTTTCGCCCTCTCGCATTAGATATAGGGTCCAAAGGACGTCATCCATAAAATTTACTTGGTGTGGCCTAAGGAAGCAATCTGTTTGCCGGGTTAATGTATTTGGAGTGGTTTGTTTGTTTGTTTTTGTTTAATGTTTTGACAGATCAATGAAAGAGGGACGGAAGGTTTTGTTTTACACAAGGAAGTTTCAAAACACAGAGGAGGTTTTGGAACTCTGGAACTGCATTTTCAACAGAATTTAAAACAAAATCTTATAGATAACGTTATTCAAGAAATTTAAACAGGCTGATATGTCAGCAGTTTGTTTTTGGCAGGATTTTGTCTGTGTGGGTGTGTCAATGTAAACCGGTTTGTTTCATCTGCTTATAGCCCATCCCTTTCCCACTAAAGCCTATACAGAATGTACATACCTCGACAAGTCTAACAAGTATATAGTGAGTCATAAGGGAAGGACCAACCATCCCTGCGTAGGTGGCTTAAAAAGTGGTTTTACACTACAGTGCAGAAATCAGCCCTCATTTTTCTATTAGAACATCAGAGTTGAGTTCTGATATGTTAAGTGTATCCTTTAGCCTCCATAGCATGCCAAAAGCTGGGGGATTTGGGGGTCTTCAGGGTCTTTGAGATCTTTTATGTGCTATTTTCTGATTGCATATAGACAATATAGCCAGCCTGGTTGAATTACCCCCGTTTTTTAGAAGTGGGCTAATCAGAAAACAGCCAAAGACCACCAAACCCCCAGTTCTATAAGCCTGCTACGGAGGCTAATCAGAAAACAGCCGAAGACCACCAAACCCCCAGTTCTATAAGCCTGCTACAGAGGCTAATCAGAAAACAGCCGAAGACCACCAAACCCCCAGTTCTATAAGCCTGCTACGGAGGCTAATCAGAAAACAGCCGAAGACCACCAAACCCCCAGTTCTATAAGCCTGTTACAGAGGCTATGTATCCTTAAGGTTTACGGATTATACAATATTTTGTAGATCTGTAGCACCATTAGTAAAGCACCATGTAGAAAGTGTCAGCTGGTTGTGTGTGTAAATTAGTTTTGATGGCTGTGAGTGTGTTTCATTAGATCAATTAAAGATAATCGTAAAGTCTTGCCTTAAGGCTGATTGTCAGTAAGTAGTTAATTACACAGAATAAAGATAGGACATAAATAAAGTGGCTATTGTCAGTTATATGGCAATTGTCTTATTCATTGTTTGTAGACTAAAAAGTGTTTGAGCCATTTGCAAGCTGTAGAGTACAAAATATACCACTATTTTATTTGTGTGAGAAAGTTTGACAGACTTATCTAAATTAGTAAGTAGTTAATTACACAGAATAATTTAAAGATAGGACAATTTTTTGTATAAATAAGTGGCTAGTATATTCTCAGTTATATGAAGACTGAAACTTGGTTTCTTGTGTTTGACTTATTTGTAGTGGAAAATGGCTATTTTATTTGTGTGGGAAAGTTGGAAGGATCTGTCAGAAGCATTTTGAGGCATTTGACTGAATCACAGTTAATTGAATACCATAGTGTTGCTTTCTTTCTTTCTGCTCCATTTGCGATCACCCCTCCCTTCTGTATCACAATGCTGTGAAATTGGCCAATCATGTCTACTTTTGCCCCCTCCTTCCGTTTACTTGTACGTTTCATGCTTGATTAAATCTGGAACAAAGCTTAGGCATAGTCCACTGTTTTTTAGGGGAGAGTAGTTCATTTCGTAGAGCATCTAAACGTTCAAAACAATCTTAGATTGTTGGTATAGAAACAAATAATTTTTCTTTTTAATTTTTATCATGATTTTTTCAGAGTGTTGTGTTTAAATAGCGTGTTGTCTTAGATTTAATCTTTTCTGAAGCCTCAGTTATCGTAGAAACCCCCCCTTTTTGAAGAGATGCCCTGACCCTACACACCTTGCCCCAGTTTTCTTACCGGCAACACCGTGTTTATCAGAGTGCAGAGATCGGTGAGGAATCATCTCTCCAAGACAAGTCTGTGCAAGAATCTCTCCCCAAGACAATGAAAGTCTGTCTTTAAGACACCCAGGGTGCTTCCGTTGCCTCGAGGGTCACCCTTAAGGCACAAGTATGACCCGTGAGTGAGTCAGTGTAAGACCTAGGATTGTGACCTATCCTCACACCCACATGTTGGGCGCTGCAGTAGCAGGCTTGCTCTGGGCGGTAGTGGACGTGGTGTGGATTGCAGCTCGCTGGACATTTCGTTTCTTCCTCCGGACGGTTTTCTGGGCAAAGGTCGTCGTCGGGGCCGTTGCCGGGAGGTCCAGAATGTCAGGGTCAAAGGTGAGATGCCCGGGGCTTGTTTCTGGAGATGTATGAAATATTTTCATGGCTGCTTGAGAAGTGACGGAGGGAGATTTGTTGACAAGATAAGGGTGTGTGCTTAAGGCCTGAGTGCGTTGAAGCACTGACAGTTCTATGTATGGTGTAAAGGAACATTATGCAGGTACTCAATCAAGTTCTTAATACTTCTCTTAATAATTAGTTTGTTAAGTTGTTTTTTTACACCGCGTTTAAAATTAGGTTATTGTCGGACTGAGAGTTCTTTGCTAGTCTGTAGTCATTTAATAGGTTTTATTTTCACCAAACTTGTTATAAACTTTTCTGACAAAGGAACATTATACAGGTACTCAATGGACTTCTTAATACTTCTTCTTTCTCTTGATAATTAGTTTCGTTAATTTCTTTTCCTGTATAGTAAAGTGTGCTCAAAATAAGATTACCGGTATTGTTGGACTGTGAAGCTATTTGCTAGTTTGTACTTGTAGTTTTTTACTTCCACAATGTCACAAACTTTTCTTTTCACCAAACTTTTATGACTCTTTAAACATTGATGTTTAGACAATCATCATCAAATTATTACTCCAACTGTTAAAAATAATTACATTTCCATATTAAGAGGTTAGCCATGGTCTGTGAAACAGAACTTGGCAAGCTCAGCGCATCTGTCAGTGGATTTCAGGAAGTATAGGAAGCTCCCCTCTTGTGGGACTAAACAGTTGAGGTTGTTCTTGGCAAACCTTGTGTTGAAACAACCACTGATGAGTCACTGTGAAATCTACTTTTCCAGTTATTGCCTTAATTTGTATGAATGAGACATTGAAAACAATATTATAAGTTTAATAATACTATGTCTGAAGGGTTTGACTTCTCTTTTGTAAAATATGGAATACTTAATGCCCCACCTTTTCTAAAATTTGTGGGTTTTGGGTAGTTCTTCTTATCGAGTCACCACTGCTACACTCTTCCCCTCCAAAACTCTGCGCATGCCCTTCTCATGAGGGTCAGGGCTTCCAGGTCCTCCTTAAAACATTATTAGTGAACACACTAATATTACACTAATATACATTATCAATGGTGACTGTGATAACAGATTTTCTATATTGAGGCTGTTTTTTGACTTGTACTCTTTCTAACTCTGAAACTTTAAATTCTAACAACAGAACAAAAGAGAACCGATCTATCACGTTCTTACAGCCTAAACAAAGAGGAACAAAGTACATACAGCGAAATCAATCAGTCCAGATAAGATGAGATCGCCACTTTCCTTGGAATGCTAGGCTGATCCTCGCTGCCTATTAAACTGCTCCAAGGCATGCAGGGTCAGGGCAAACGTACAAGTGATACCACTGTCCAACGCACATGTGATACCACTGTCCCCTCCTCAGTATGCGTAAGCTGTAAAACCATCCGTCACTTTACATTCTGGGGGAAATATTGTCATCAGATCGGTTACAAAGGCATCCCCGCTATTTTGGGTACAGAACCGAGCACAATCCACACTCACTTCCTGAAGAACAAGGGAGATGTCAGAGTTATCTTTAAGATAAAAATCTTGTTCTTTTCTTTTCTGAAGAAGCCGACAGGAAGCTAGGAAAGGTTAGGATACCTGGTATCATTTTCAATCTATCGCAAGGGCGGAAATGGTATTAATTTCGCATTCACACTGTTGAATGAATAAAAGTATATTTTTTTAAGTTATCAACGAGCAAGATTTTCAGTAATTCAGTGATTCAAAATTCCTTTTTTTGCCTCAACAAAACTTTCTTGATCTCTCATGAAGTTGGAGAATGATTGAGTAGCAAAGTTCTTTCTTCACAACCACTTGTTAACAAGAGCCTCTTGACTCAACTAAACCAGTGGTTGTGAGTAAAGAACTTTGCTATTCAATTTGTTGAACTCTTTAAGCATCAGAAAATTTGAAGTTTACACTTAGCATGTGGTATTGAAGACAAGACATATGCAACACCTATGTTGCAATAAAATTTCTTATCATAATCTGTCCCACAGAAATATAAGTATGAAAAAAGCCACCATGGTAAGACCACGTTCTGCCAAAACAAGTTTACATTTCCAGTGTTGAGAGGCCATAAAAGTTGGCACTAAAGCACCTGCTTGTTCCACTTGTGCCTACATCAAACCTCAATTAGCACAATAAAAGGGTCCTGAGTAATAGAAAGTACCCTCTTTAGCCCCACCATTGTTTCCCCTGTGTACTACACTTACCCGGCGATACCCAACAAGGCTGTTAGGAAAAGTGTATAACATTCCACACTTTCATTTCAGGGGGTATATTCTGTTCTATTAATGGTGGTGCAGGTGATACAGTTGTACAGGCATTCCAATGCATCAAATAACCAGGAATAAAAGAATTTTAGCAGGCAACCAGTTGACTTTCATGAACGCTTGCTAAATATTAGTGCGTTCTATTAGTAATAGTAGAAGAATAAAAATTATTGCAGTTTTTTATTGTTTTTTGCTTATGAGCAAAAAATGTGCAGCATATTTCTGGCTTCTCAACTTCTGACCAGAGGAAGTGGGGGTGCATCTTTTCCTGCCCAACCCTCTATTTTAAAGGACAGAGTTCTTACAACTCTAGTAAAATATCTCTTCAATGACACCACTAATGCCAACTCTTTCTGTACAATGCCTGGCTCAGAAAAGTCACGTTGTGCATCGTTTCGATTCAAAAACCCTTTGTGCAAGTTTATCTAAAGTAGGGGAGTCAAGCAAGAAATCCCGCAGAAAGTCTGTCCAACTGCTCGGCATTTGCGAACAAAAGCGGTATAGCTACTGTGCCGTCTGGATAGCATCAGCGCGTGTAGGTTGGCTAAGCCTGGAGTATTTCTTCCTTCCGCTAGTGTAAGCCGTACCGAACAATAGATGTCTGTTGATAGGAAACAACCTTGAATGTGGATGAATATCTTGCGCCAAATCTTCTGTGCTAAGTTGAGGCTGTAAGAAGTTATTTCACCGGTTCTTGTACGCACAATGAACTAAAAAAAGTTGTTTTTGTGAAAAAAAAAAACACCTGATATAAACTGTATGGCTTAGCCTGGATGCCAGACTGTTTTCAGGGTAAGTACACAGGCCAGCTTTGGCCACGAGTTTTCTTTGTAATTCTATAGAGCTTTGTTTGTTTGCTTTAACTTAAGACCGTGAAGAAAAAAATTCACCAAAAAAAGACACTAGAATATTTGGGAAATATATCTTCATCTATATCTACCTTGCGTTCTTGCCATACATGCTCACTTAGCCAGGACCAGTATAAAGGCCAACTTTGGCCATGTCTTTTCTTTGTAACTCTGTAGAGCCTGAAGATCGTAAACAAAAAATTCCACAAAAAAGGCCAAGAAATATTATGTTATAAATCCACCTTGCGTTCTTCCCATACATGCTTACTTAGCCATGAAACTGATGCGCCGTTAGCTATACTTAAGAAAAGAATCTTTACGATGTCCCCGATGTGTGTGTGAAATACAGCAGTGAAGTCACCCTATTGTGTAAACATGGGCCGTCGAATTAACCCCTGCCCCGGGCACTGTTACCTGTAAACTTTGACTAGAGTCACGTCTGTAGGTTACAGGCAGCCACTGCCAAGAGCTTGGTCACAATTAAAATGGTTGTGGGATAGTCGTGCTTGTATCTTATAAAATTTGGCTTCCTTGTTACCAAAAAGGTATCCTTAGGTCCTTTTTTTTTACATCTTTTTGTCACAGACTGCTGGAAAATCGATAAACCAAGGATATCAAAATCGTATGACAATATATAGACTGGTTTATTTGCAGAAACACATACTTCATACATACATAGTACAGTAGGTTAGAAGCTTTTTGCAGCCAAAGGCTGAATTGAGAAGCTTTTACAAATTTTTAAAAAATTACATGACTAATACATAATATATATACATAAAAAGTGTCTTGAGAGGCATTAAACACCACTTATACGCTAGAATAATACACATTTATGCTAAAATTACATCATACAATTTCTGTTGGCAAATTACTAAGGTACAACTGACAATAATAAAAAAGTACAGTTACATCATGTGCAACAACATAAAATGAAATCTACTGTATGGCAACCTACGACAGATATGACTGTGCTCTAGAAGATTATTCCAACAAGAACCACCATGTTTTTTTTCTTTGTACTGACTTTTTTGTTAAGAAAGAGAACATGATAAGTGGTATTATAACTTTTTTAAGAGCATAATTTAGCCCAGAAAAGACGTTAACACCTGAAGCATTTGATTATACACCTTCCAAGAGACTTGTGCTTTCTGTTTATTGACTCTTGTGTCTTAAAGAAGTCCAGCAGTTCCTTCAAAGTTTAACCAAGACTTAACCTTCTTCTGTGTCCGTCTGTGACCGTCTGACCACCACGCCTCCAACCCGCCCTCTTTTCCAATCTTTGATTTTACTGCAGTGTTGTTACGTTAATTGTCAACAATTTTCAGTAGAATTAGTCAACGTAGTTGTATGCGCTGGTCAAAGCCTGTCTGAACCTTTACAAAGATCTTTCCTTGCTCTTTTTCTCGCTTTTGTGTCCGCAGTTTACTCAACACTTATCCCGGCATCATTGTCCGGCCATTAATTCAAGTCCTGGTGTTGACAGTACACTTCAGAATCATTTCTCCGCATATCTCGTGCTGATAGTTTCTTTCTTCCGCTCTCTTTTCTCCCCCCGCCCCAATTCAAAGGACGGAATTCCTGCGGTATCGGAATATGTTATATTATTGTTTCCTCTCCCGGTTTGCGCCAATAAATTCTCTTTAGCGTTGTCGGGTGCCTGGTTATGCACACGAGGTACATGTATGCACGGAGAGCCCTACAAATGTAGTTTACATCTTGTTAGCACAGATCAAGAGGGGACCATTGAGAGGGTGGTTAATGTGTTACCTCGCACGCACACAGGCCGGCTGCTTTCATCTCTGTCTCAGAACCATTCAGGAGCAACAAGCTTGTCCCTGAATGTCTGTAAACTATTTTTGGATCAGGGAACCGCTTGGGTTCACAGATTGAGTGCAGTGAGAGTTCCCACCACCACGGATGCTAGCTTACAGGGGCAGGGATGGGAAACTCGGGGTCAACGCACGTGAAGGAGGAAAATAAGGTAAACACTAATTATGGTTTCCTCACGGAAAGGTTATACAGGAGGAGCGGCTTGTAATAACGTCACTGCTTGATGACGGATGGATCTGTTGTTGTGTTGAGTGGTGGGATGTGATGACATCGATGTTCGCTGGCAGGTTTTCTCCTGGTCTCAAACATATGTCACTGCTGGATTCTGATCACAGCATGTTGTTCTTGCCGGGCTCGAAATTCATTCTTTAGAATAGGTGCACCATATAAATAAAATAAGTAGAACGTCAACAAAAACTAATCATGTTTCATTTCTAAAGAAAGGTACTAATTAACATTTAATGATTTTATCATTTTTCTGGCACTTTGATGTTAAGAATATGCTGTATACTACTGTACAGTCAATATCTTTAAATTACATCATAAAGCTATGAAAATATTTGAACACAATCATGTACACTGGTGCACCCACAGAAAAAAATTAGGTGCACAACTCCAATTTTGGGTGCACTAAGGTGCACATGCACCCAGTATTTCGAGCTCTGCCTGGTCTAAAACATTGATCTATCACTGCCGGGTTCTGACAGTACGTTGTTCTTGAGACCTGTCTTGACACTGTGTGCTTCTCGAGTGGTTTGCTGAGGAAAGTTTAAAGTCAGAAAGTCACGACACTTCACACGTGCAGGCCAGGACCTCCTCACCTGTGCCAATATTTGGACTGTTTTCTGTTTTGTGTTTTTTATGACCCAGTGTGCTTAAACTGTCGGCCTTGTCACTTCTCCGTGTTGACTGTTCTATTTTAGCCTTTTCTTCTTTGTTGCTATAATTATAGCTTCTAGACAGCTGGAAACTAGGATGTAGCTTTTCGAAACGTCAACTGTCAGATTTAACGTCAAGTTGTGGGTGTAACCAAATAGCACGTGAGAAAAGTAATTTTTGATCTATTTACTGTAATGATTTCAGTCAAGTTCAATGCTCTTGGGTTAAGTTAACCAAAAGCTTTAAACCAAATTCCTCTAAATATATTCAGGTGTTATAAAAATAACTTGAAACAAGCTTGTTTTATACAGTGAACAAAATATATATACGCAGGTTTACTTTTAAATTAGATATGTATAATCTAATTATATATATCTAATATATCTAATTTCAATGTTATTTAATTTGTATGCTATTCCGTCACTAAAAATATCATCTATCTTTTCTATTTGTAAATGGTGACAAAACTGTACTGTAAATATCTAATTACATACAATAATTATACATATATACAATATTTATACCATTTACAAATAGAAAAGATAGATGATATTTTTAGTGACGGAATAGCATACAAATTAAATAACATTGTAATTAGATATTTGTAGAACAAATTTGTGATTATTATTTAACTCACAAGCTAGTATAACGAAGTTAAATGTATATTTCAGCATGGTATGATTGTGTACGTGCCCAGAGACAGTCCCATGTTCTATATATACCAGTGATATGTCTGAGTGATCCGGCATATGTCATGTGGGGTGACGACCTGAACTCACAGCAACTCTCAGGCAAATTATACTGGGATTTGAAGACATTATGTTGGAATTATACTCATTTATAAGATTACAATTCTGTCAGTATGTATGTCCTATTGTGTCCTTAGTGAAGAGTATATTAGTTGTGTGTACAATATTTCTCTATGATTAAACATATGTCTATATTAATACTGTAGCCTGTATTATTTATTGCTTTTGATTTATTATATGAGGCCAAAGGCTGCTGTAAGGGATGTCTAGACATGCAAATAAAGTGTTAGAAAGTTTTGTTACCAAAGAGTTGTTCCAAAAAATGGATTACTGATTATCTATGAATGCCAATTTGATTGATAAAACATATAGAATGTACGGGTGTTTGTGTGTGTGTTTGTTTGTGTTTTTTCATATATTCTACCAGAGGACACTCATGAAGCCTACTATCTTTGATTATTACTTAAATTAATTATAATTAATAATATTAATTCTAAGTCAAACAAATTCATGTGACAGCGAGGAGTCTGAATCCCTCCTGCTATAGAATTGCAACATGATGTAACCCAACACTAGTTACCATGGTGACAGACGTCTGGTTCAGGTCATTGACCTTATTTGTTTGGAGAAGAAGAAGAAACTGAGCAAAAACAAAATATTTCCTTCGGTAAACATAATAATGCTGTTTCAAAATCAATAACGTGACTTAACCTTGTGTGTGTTTCAGAGTTTCCTGCACGACCTTGACAGCTCAATCCAGCGTACGCTGTCTTCGCTGTACCCTCCGTACCACGCCACCGCGCCCGTGCTGCTCGGACAGGTGTGCCAGATCGTGGAGAAGCGTTTCCGTGGCGATGGCATGACCTTTCTCAGCGACTGGCTCATCCCAGCGAAACCAGTGCTACAGTGTGTGCAACAGGAGGCTAGGGTAAGTGTTTGTTTGTTTGTTTTTGTGTGTTTCCATGGTAGCAGGAGGCTAGGGTGAGTGTTTGTATGTTTGTTTGTTTGTGTGTCCGTGCCTGAGAGACCATGATCCCAGCGAAGCTGCAATGTGTATAACAGGAGGCTAGGGTGAGTGTTTGTTTGTTTGTTTGTTTGTGTGTCCATCCCTGAGCGACTGGCTCATCCCAGCAAAACCCGTGCTACAGTGTGTGCAACAGGAGGCGAGGGTGAGTCTTCTGTAGCTATTTGAACACAGTACTGTCACTTGAAGTGAGGGGGGAAATGGCATAACCACAGACTGACAGCAAGGTCGAATTGATGGTGAAAATGCCAAAGAGGACTGGGACTGGAAATGTCTTTGTGGACTGGCCACTTTAGACAGGATTCTTAATGCTTATGTCAATGCAAAAAGTTACCTAAAGGACCACCAAAAAGTGGCAAGGCACAGGCACATGTACCATGAAAATAGGTCTGTGCAGCCTCAGAAACTTAAAAGTTAAAGACAGTTTTTTGTTTCTAATGCTTGCAGTTTCATAAAAGATGCTAGGGGGCATTACATTTTATTATAAACTCCATAATAACACACACACCAGCTGCAGGGAGCATTTGATCAGTGTAAAATCTATTTGAGGGATGTGTTCAATTGTCTGATATTTGCCTTCGCAAAAGCTAATTATAAGATACAGCACTGAGATGTGGGCAAGTCTTACAATGAGTTCCTTTCTTCCATCCCACCAGCCCAGGTGCCCCACTGTCTATAGACCCTGTGCTAACTCCTTACAAGGTTGACTCTCCATCAGGCTACACCAATTTAATTTGTTGGTTCATGGATTTGCCTGCTTCATTTTTTTCTGATTTGCAACAAAAAAAACAACAACAACAATATTTCCCGCTCCAAAAATTACTTGAATTACAAACCAGCCTGATTTGTTAACTTCATGGCTCCTGTCAAAGCATTTGAGGCTATCATAGGATGCCTCAGCCTGTTTTTATTTCTTTATTTTTTCACCCTGTCGCTTCATATTTTTTCTGACAAAAATCCGAGAACCAACAAATCAAATTGGTATGGCCTTACAGGCCAATTTCCTTTGCCCTACTGTCTATAGAACTCCTTACAAGGTTAAACCTCCATTACCTGTGAGACAGGTGTGTTTGTCAAGGATCACCTCAACGTGAGTCTTGACCTCCCGACCTCTAAATGTCACTGAGAGAGTTACCTGGCTGAGCAGACGACCCCTGACCTTCCACAGAGCATGTAAACCGATACTCAACCCACCTGGTCGGAAAATCGTGTCTAAAACTTGTGATTTATTATGTAATAGAAATGTGATGAACCTGCTAGGAGCTTTAGGTCAAAGGTGGGTCACGGTGCGACCCTAAACGGGGTAGGTGTTTTGCGAATAATGTAAAGAGATGGCCAAGAGACTGTGGGAATTTCATAGCCTTAAACTGATGACCTTTTGACAGGTAGTAGCCCAGTAGCCTCCGTAGCAGGCTTTTAGAACTGGGTGTTTGGTGGTCTTTGGGTGTTTTCTCTGATTAGCCCAGTTATAAAAAAAACGGGGGTAATTCAACCAGGCCGGCTATGTTGTCTATATGCAATCAGAAAATAGCACATAAAAGCTCCCAAAGACCATGAAGACCCCCAAACCCCCCAGTTTTTGGCATGCTATGGAGGCTAGTAGCCCAGTATGTAAATCAATCTATAATGATAGGTTTCACTGCTGTTTTTCTTTGTTACTGTCCTACCGTGTCAGTAGTTTGTTGTCTGTACGCTTGTCATTTTTCATCTGCAGGCAGTTGTGTTTATTTTTCTGTCAATTTTTCGTGCCAGATATCTCTTCTCGGAAATAAACATGTATAGGTATCTTAATCTGGTAGTCAGATAATGCAGGTATGCAACAGTGGCACCAGACTGATAAAGCTTATCCACTGGTATAGTAAGATCAGATAGTGATACAAATTTTTGTATCAGATCAAAGGAGTGCATGCGTGTAATTTGTTTTCGGTATCAGCTTGTCCGTGTTTGAGTGTCTACAGCTTTTAAATTCCAAATATATACAATGCAGCATTGCCACTCATTGTCAGTCCTGGCGTTTTTGTCTGTGGGCCTAGAAATGTCACCTAGCAGTATAGGTAAGGGGGTGAAGTCTGCCATCTCTGGTTGCCTTGGTAGGGGGCCGGCATACCCTTTTCTGTAGAGCGTAATCAACCGTTTTAATTCTACGTAATGCGTAGCTTCCCAGAATTTATCGTAAAACATAATGGGGAGGCTTTTTGAAATCAGCATAATACTGTTGGTTCTAAAAATTTAGCATAGAGCATTGTCAGGGCCCCCCATGCAGACCCTTTTGGTAGGTAATGGATGGCTTTTACAAAAGGGTCTTAAACCAAAGAATTGAATTCCTCTTGCCCCTGATAACCATCTTGATACAGTATTGCTGAGTGTAGCAGAGCCAGAATCAATATATGCTATTGATCAGTGATGTGATGTGGCACCAAGGGGAAATCGCTGGCCTGGTTTTACTACAGCAGGGGTCTAAATCATTACTCTATACAGGAGCAGGTTGGTACGTAGCCTCCATAGCAGGCCAAAAACTGGGGGTTTGGGGGGTCTTCAGGGTCATTGGGAGCTTTTATATGATATTTTCTGATTGCATATAGACAACATAGCCGGCCTGGTTGAATTACCCCCGTTTTTAGAACTGGGCTAATCAGAAAACAGCCAAAGACCACCAAACCCCCAGTTCTATAAGCCTGCTACAGAGGCTAGTTGGTACGGTCGTGAACATTGGGTAGGTATGTTTTGCACGCGTTCAAAGGTCTGTTATAGTCAGGGGGCTGGCTGAAAATTTGTTGAAAAGCCTAATAGTGTGGGTGGTGGGTGTTGAGATTGAATTTAGATAGCGCTGTTGTGTGTAGGAATTTCAGCTGTAGGTAATGTAAGGATACACAGGATGAGGATGTCATTCAAAAATCTTAGTTTTATAGGTAAGAAGACCATAGTTTCAGGGTTAGGATTATCGTACATAGGGTTAGGTTCTATAATTATGATGAAGGTCACCTTACAGCACTTGTTTGGGTGCCTGCTATTCCCATGTGTTAATAACATAGAATGTGGTGTATGGCAGCTTCATAAGGGGGTATGGTGGAGTAAAAAAATATTATATGGTACTTCTTTGCAAAGGTTGCAACAAATTTGTTTTGTTCTAAAGGTTGGACGAGGCGACTTGTTTCATTGTGAACAGTTTGAAATTGGGGCATTTTATCAGGTTATTTACAGAGGAGCCCATCACCATCAAATATGGAAGAGGCCTCTTTATCAAAAAGCTTTTTAGAATTTGCTTGCAGTTCAGTGCACAGGGCCTACTGTAATGTAGGTTATTCAGTAGGATGTATCCAGTTGTCGACGTATGTCTTGGAAGCTGGTGTGTTGTGTCATGTTGAACTTTGAAGGATGTTATACTGGTTGACATGTGCAGATAGCGTGGACAATGTAACGTTCCTGATGTCTGAAAATACACCAATTCCTCCTTTTTTAGTAAATGATAACCTTTTTAAGTAGGCTGCTGTAGAATCGTGGCAGGTTCTTGGTCCACTCTCTCTGCTGGCAGCCTGGGTGCCATCCTGGTAAGTTTACGTCCGCTCCCACAGTCCGTAGCGATGTAAACTAACAACTCAGACCTAAGAGATAGGGGAATTCTTTTTACACAACCAGTAAATCTCACCTCGCTGACGTTTCGGTGTCTGTCAGACACCTTCTTCAGAGCTTCTGACTGGAGTACTGCATTTCGCCGCTATATGTAGCCGAACACCGAAACGTCAGCGAGGTGAGATTCACTGGTTGTGTAAAAAGAATTCCCCTTTCTCTTAAGTTTTACCAACCTGATGAAATTATTTTCGGAACTCAGTCCTGTCTTGCTCCGTCCCTCCTTGAGATAATCTGATTGAAAGTGTTGATGCTGTAACCGTGGTAACAGACCTTGGGAGACCCCCTCTCATCCCCGCCATATTTGCCTCCTTAGAAAGTGATTCTGAAGAAATCGATAATTCGTCTCTCGTCTGGGACACGCAGGGGGCAGGAGATGTGTTCTTTTCCCAGCAATTGAGGGTACAGGAGAGGTTGGAAGGGCTTGGGGGAGGGCCACTCTGCTTTGTTACAGTGATAAAACCTACAGGTACTCAAGGAGGGTGTCTTACACGAAGGCAAACACTCCGCAACTGCTAACACTTCTGATGACCAACTCTCACCGTGGGATGCCGGCAGAATGGCCTGGGTACCATCCTGGTTAGTGGGGGCCCACAAGCCCTTTTCCGTAGAGTGTAATCGGCCGTTTTAATTCTACGTAGAGCATAGACGGACTGCTCTAATATTTTTGCGTAGAGTGTAATCGCCGTTTTAATTCTACGTAATGCATTGTAGCCACTTGGAATTTATCGTAAAGCGTAATCGAGAGGTTTCCGAATTCAGCATAGAGCGTTGTCGGGACCCCCCCCCCCTTGCAGGCCCTCATTAGTTTTTGGTTAGTCAATAAAATTATGATGTTTTAATTGAAGGACTTGGCAGGGAAAACAAAACTTTATTTAAGGGTGAAAGAAAACTATGACGTCAAACTCGAGGCTACCTTCTAAAAGCAGAATTTACTTTATGTCAAGAAGAGTATTTATAAATGTGTTCTTTCCTCTACGTATGTTTGGTTTGGACAAACATCTCAGTGTTAACTTGTTGGATTATCAATAAATTAAACCTTACAAGTTACAGGTTAGAAATATGGAGTGATGAAGACTTCTTTTACACTACAATTTTAGTTAGAGGGACCACAAACTTTATAAGAGAAGTTTCCTGTCAAATGTTACTTCAGGTGCGGAAGACTATAAAGTTGCCCTCACTCAGCGTTTGTTTGGTCCAAGCAAATACCTTGGAGATTTATAGTTCGTTTATTGATGAATTAGATATTACAATTTAGATACGCATTTGGAATAGGCAAACTTTTTACACAATATGGTAAAAACTAAACAGTGTAGTTTAGCCTATAGAGCTACATGTAACAAGAAGGCAAGAAACTTGTGATATCATTATTAACTCAAAGTTGTCCATGAAGGCAATTTTTCATCCAATTAACTGTTCTGAATGCGTCCTTTCTCTGTCTGTGTTTGCAGTTGGAACAGGAAAACTTTTTACTCCATACGGTTGGTAATAGAGCTACATGTAAGAAGAAGGCAAGAACTTGTGACATTATTGTTGACTCAAAGTTGTCCGTGAGGGCAATTTTTCATTGAGTAGTGCCCAAGACTGGTGTGAATGTGTCCTTTCTCTGCCTGTGTTTGAAGTTGGAACAGGAAAACTTTTTAATTTTTAAGTTCTATATGGTAAACAGCATTGTAGATGTACATGTACATGTAACAAGAAGGCAAGAACTTGTGATATTCTTGTTGACTCATAGTTGTCTGCAAATGCAATTTTTCTTCAAGTAGTGCCTAAGCCTGTACTGAATGCGTCCTTTCTGTGCGTGTGTTTGCTGTGAGTAAATGTTTGTTGGGTGTACCTGTGGTGAGAGTGGTGCCGGTCTGGTACCAGCCATGTTTACTCCCAATTATCAAAGACGTCAGAGGTTTTTACCGGGTCACGGCACACCAGACTTTAACGCAGGCCTGCATGCCCTTTTCCGTAGAGCGTAATCGGCTGTTTTAATTCTACGTAGAGCGTAGATGGACCTGTCAAATTCAACGTAGAGTGTAAGTGGTGCATTTTGTGCAGAGCGTAATTCGTAGTTTCAATTCTACGTAATGCGTTTCAGCTACCTGGAATTTATTCAGCGTCATACGTAGCCATCTCTCAAAATTTTGCTTAGAGCGTTGTTGGGACCCCCCATGCTGGCCCTCTTCTATTAACCAGTTACAAATTTGGTATCAGTAGGCAACCGCAGCATGTGGAAGGTTAATGTAATTGATAACATTACACAGACAAACCTATACGATTGAGATTTATTCTCCAAGCAGATGTTGGGTGGAACGTCGTAACGTCTTCCGACTTTTTGGCATCTCTGACATGTACTCAATGCTATGATTATGAAAGAATTTTCGATAAAAAGCTTCTGGATTTAGATTTAAGATCCAGATCTTTTCCAAGATCACAGAATAAGCATGTATAAAAAAAAAAAATGATACAAAACACTTATTTATAAACTTCTTAACTTTGTTCTTGTTGAAAAACCAATGACTCAGTAGACCAACCAACCAACCAACCGACTAACAAACTCTGACGAAAACATCTCCCTAAGTCAATACAGACGTGGGTGTATAGTAAGTAAGTTGTATAAGGAGATCGGCAAACAGAAGCCAGTTTGGCCTGTCTGTCTTGAGCTGAACTCTTCATGTTGTCTTTATCTCTGGAGTGGTTTTCTTTACTCTGATTCCCATTGTGTTCAACCACTGGAGCATTCAAATGCCGGCTTGATGAAGTGGGGAATGCCAGGAGAGTCCTGTGTAGAAGTCAGAAGCAGGAGAGACAGAGCTGGGGTGTAGACATGCAAGGTGGGGTTTCATGTCTTGCTTTTCTACCAGTACATTCAAGGTTGCTCTTTGGCTCTAGAAAGTCCTTCCTTTTTAGCTACTGTCAACCCCAGAACTGGGCTTATTGGCAAGTCTTAGGTCAACATGCTTCCAAGGACATTTTATCACAGCCCACCTGAGTTAGAGCTCTCATATGTTGGCCCTGGAGCCGTGGGGCTGGCCTGTGTAGGCCCTGGAAACAGTCTGGTATCCAGGCTAACATGTTGGCCCTGGAGCCAAAGAGCTGGCCTGTGTAGGCCCTGTTAACTAACAGTTTGGTGTCCAGGCTATGGTATACGTACATTTGTCTATGGAGTGGTAGTTCTCAAAACTGAGGACAGAGGCTTAAGTATAGAAAAAAACAGTACAGCTAAAAGTTAAAAGTCATGCTTTGTTTGGTGCCCACCAGGTTACACTGTCTAGCAAGTAACTTAGGAGATATTTGTTGTACAACAGACACACACCTGCTTTGTACCTTTTGGCTCAAGTTCAGATGTGACCTGGCTATTGCAAGAGTGAAGTTGCCATAGTAGGACAAGACAAGCATGTGATGATGACTTTTGAACTTGTCTCTGTAGTTGTGTTTGGATGTTCTGTTTTCCCACGATGGTATGCTATTATTGGAACTGTGTCTATTGGATGTTCTTCAGCACACCTGTAGGGAATAGCAGTTATGAAGATGTGGTTAGTACCTTTTGGCACAGGTTCAGGTATAACCTGGCTTTTGTGACAGGGAAGTTGCCATAGTAGGACAAGACAAGCATGCGATGATGACTTTTGAACTTGTCTCCATAGTTGTGTTTGGATCTTCTGGTTTCCCACGATCCTATTCCTGGAGCTGTTTCTATGCGATGTTTCACAACAAACCTGTAGTATAGGGACCAGTGGTGAGGAAGTAGTGGTTAGTAGGGGTAAAACACAGTCTTACGAAGTTGTTGTCCAAAGTGTACCTTCTGTTTCCTCTTTTGAGCTTTTGACTCCCTTATTTTCTTGATCTCTTTCACAGCTTCTATCAGCAGGAAAGGTCTCAAGACCAACATACCATACAGTTTCACTGAGCAAACTAAACTTGGTTCAATCTCTCTCTCTCTCTCTATCTGGTTCAACGTCTGTTGTTACTGGTGTTCCGAGGGTTAGACATGCTTGCACACTGATGCTGGGGCTTGATGGTAGCTCGCATTTGCCTCTGTCCTGTGGTTCTTGTGCACAGCAAATGTCAATACCCTTGCGGGCAATGTTTGTCATATTCTTGACACGAAGCCTGACTTCCTTATTTTCCCTCTTTTCCAGCTTTTACATGCAGGTAAGTTGCTGAGACACGAGGGCTGGCCGCTGTGCCTTAATGACAAGATCGTGGTGCATCTTCTCGAGCCACAAGACGAGCCGCTCAGACCAGGAGAGTTCCTGTTCTACATCGTGCAGCCCTCACGTCGGACTGCAAGGTAGTGATTTGGTTTTATCTATTTGCACAGTCATGTTAATAATGAAATAACAACTGATAACTTATAAACTTAAATTATCCAGCAATAAATAAAAATCATATCTCACTATATAGATTATGGTCAACTTGACTTGAAGTGCTATTCTGATTCTGAATGGATTTGGACACTAATAATCTAGATATTAACTCTGATATGAATGATTAATTTTGGTAAAATTTGTCGTAAAATTTGTGTGAATTTATCCATCTATCTTTATTAAAATCAAATTTGAGTTTTTTGCTATGTATTTCTCAACTTCTGCTATGTAACCTATGTATCAGCCTATGTTCAATATATTTTATTTGTTTTTGTTTTTCCAGGCCCCCTTGAAAATTAACACTGCTGCACAGCACACTCACTGTCCGGTTTATCGTCTGTTGTTCCCCGTCTTCTAAGGGTTAGACGTGCTAACGTGGTATCATTAAATATCTAAATTCTTCCCCAGATTGGCCATCAAGTTCTGTATCCGTGAGCGTGAGACAGAGAAGCTTCTGATCGCAGAGGAGACGTACGAGAACCTGTTCTCGCTGGAATGGCTCAACAGTGTCAACGCCGTGCTCACCGGACGCAAGGTTCTCATGTTCCCACTGATATATTAAATAGCCAGGCCTTCAAATAACAGAGTTACATGTACCAACTAAAGGAAAGAAGAAGGAAAATAATGATCAAAAGATAGCTTATAAACTTATACAATGATAGCTGAAATCATATCCCACAACATGAACAATGGTCAAGGTTTGACATCCAGGTAAACAATACTCATAGGAAATTCAATTCTGTCTTTCTCCCTCCTACCACCCTGCCTACTTAAATGTATCTGAATTTCTGAATAATGCATTACTCATGTCATGAGTTTATCCACCATGTTACATTACCTTAGCATAAAAGTTCATCTCCGTTGGCACAAGTCATTATGAAGCCTAAGATTTCTTTTCAACACTGGAATGAATTAGGGGCCAACTTTTCGGCTGACTCCTCCAACCTTGTTCACGGAATGGACCCGTCTACTCTTGTCTCTGATGTCACGTTCCAAGAGTAGACGGGTTCATTCCGTGAACAAGGTCGAAAGAGTCAGGCGAAAATTAGGGGTAAGTCCCAAATTCATTCATTCCAGTGTTGGGAAGAAAGCTTAGTCTTTATTTCACCATGTTCCATTACTGTGTCGTCAGCTGCGGAAGTGCGTGGTGACGGGCCGGTCGGGCGTTAGGAGGATGGACTGGCGCCGTGTGGCCGAGCCGAGGGTCACTACCATCGAGGAGGACATCGAGACGCTAGCGGAACGTGCGAGCAACACGAGTCTGGTCAGCAAAACTAGCTCCAGCAGCGGCACAAGCAATGGGAGTAACATGAGCACAGGAAACGTGGAGAGTATAGGAAAGTCGGAAAGCGACATAAGTACTAACAGTGTTGGAGTTGCTGATCATGCAAACAGTGTTGGTGTCATCGAGAATGACTCAAGCTGCAATGCCGGTTCAAACATTGGTGCTACTACAACTGAGGATAGTTTTTGTGATGAAACGCGTTTGGACGGAGCTGTTGTTGAAAGTACAGAGTGCGATGCAGACAATGGAAATGATGTTTTTCAGATGACAGATTCTGCTTGTATTAATGTGAGCAATGCAGGGACAACGGTTCTTGATGAAGCGGGTTCATGTGAGGACGCGAATAGAGGGATACAGAGTACTGGAGAAGAGGAAATGAAGGATAAGGATATCGAGAATGGAGTGAGGGAAGAAGGGAAAGGAGTAGAGAGGAGAGAAAGTGAAGAAGAGAAGGTGACAGTGAATGGAGAAGTGACGCCAGATGACGCCACGCTCGAGAGGGAAGGTAAGGAAGCTCTTTTTCTCCTACCACTCATGTTCAGCATATTTGAATAGGTAACAATATTTGCTGGTCACTGTTATTTTGAGATTTGGACTAGATCTCTGTTTACCTTTCTACTTACTGGTCCCAGTGGCCTTGACTGGGTGTGGTCTGTACAAAAGGTTAAGTTAGTCCCATGGCCATTTTCAGGCCATAGGGGCAGTAGGTTGTTAATCGACTGTGTCTAGGGCACGATATTGGAAGGCAAAGCCCATCCCTCTCCTTCCACTGCCTTTTACCTTCTCAACTGAAGTTAGGTACTCATTTTACACCAGGTCCTGGGTGGAGTGAGCAAAGTGGTGGAAAGTACTAGTGCCTTTGAATCAAACCCATAACTTCTCAGTCTCATGTCTGCTAGCCTGACCACTCGGTCATTCGCGACATCACCAATGATAATGTACAACTTAAGTGTATAATACTGTATGTAGTAAGTTTAAGTGAAGAGACATTTGAAAAACTGGGTTCCCAAATCTGACGAGCCAGTGTTATTACATTTTCAGTTATTCTGTTTGGTGCCTCAAACTTACACGGTTACAGTACAAACAGTAGCGGGGAGGGCAAACTTACACTGCACCTGTAGGACCACATAACTCAAACACGGCCAGTCAACACATGAAAGGTCGCTCGGAAAGGCCAGCGACAACTCAATCGCTCACTATACGGCCCAGGCTTTTAGCTAGGGGGTGTCCAGGGGGTCTTTTGGACGCCTTGTACTGAAAATAATAGAGAAGTTTATTGGAAATCCATGCCCTAAGGCTGATTGCAAGTTACAAACATAAAAGAACATTGAAACAGAGTATAAAATGACTTCCAAATGTACATAACGAAATCTTATTGTCTAAAACTATTGCTATGTCTAAAACTAATAAGATATTGGACGCTCTAATTTTTGGTCGGACACCCTAAAAACACCGTATTTTTTCCACTCCCAACCCCTGCCATGCACACATGCCTTCCTTTGGCCTTACCATAATGGCATAAATACAAAAATGATGGTTTACTGAAGGAAAAAAAATTCCTCAAAATTTGCACCTCAAAATGCAGAAAGTAGTGTTTGAGAGCATTATGAATTTCAAAAAAGCCCCCTTAAAAAGCTTGCGCACCGCGTGTCTTCACTGGGCATAGCATACAATGAAAAAAAAAACAGACACCCAACAAAAAAATCCTACTCTCCAAGCAGAGGTTGATAGGGGAAGATCGTTAACTTTTTATATATGGCCCGTTGTGTTTGTCGGTGGTCGTCGACCTTCTCTGGCTAATGGATACTGTCTTGCCACCGAAATGGATCTGCTTGGAGATTGAAAAATCCTAGCTAAAAGCCTGGCGACAGCTCAATACACGATACAAACCGTCATGGAGCCAGACTGACATCCTAGAGGAGCCGGGGGGTTACCGGATTTTAGATACGATTGTGAGGTTCATATTCACGTCCACTGACACATAGCCGTCCTTACATGTTCTAGCTGCTACTGAGCCAAAGGCATCTGTGTAGACGTCTGATTTCTTTGTGCGTCCTGTCAAGACGCCGTTCTAGGTTCCTTCCTGTTCCTTATCTCGGAAGAAAGGCCGAGATCGGAAGATACTTGACCAAGTTACGGAATGTTTGTCTACCCGTTGGGGAGGTGAATGGAGTGGACGAGGTTTCACGGCATTTCAAGTTTCCTTACGTGCTTCATTCTGCACTGAATCTACAGGGCTGTCAGCCGCATTTAGAGTCTGTAGGGCCCTCTGTAAAGGGAGGCAGACAGTTGTAAACTTGATCTTGACTTTTAGTCTGGTGGGGTTTTACTATGTGGTCGTCTCAATGATGATTTAGCCAAAGTTCAGCTAGTCTTTTTAGCAGAAGGTCGAATAAATATTTGCGTAAGTTTAGGAACAGCTGTAAACTTGAGCTTCACAACGCTATAAGGTCAGTAAAAAGTAGTAGTAGTAGTAGTAGTAAATCGTTTATTGATAAAAACACGGGACAAATCGGCCTTGCAGTAAAAACTGAATGGTGCAGAAGTTTACAATCAACATATTCAGTAAAATTAGAAGTTCAGCTAGTCTTTTTAGCAGAAGGTCGAACAAATATTTGGGTAACTTTAGGAACAGCTGTAAACTTGATCTTCACAATGCTATATAAAGTCGGTAAAAACCAGGACTGGTCTTACTGTATGGTTCCCATGACGATGTCATGTTCCGAAGTTTAGCCTCTCTTTTCAGCTGAAGGTCAGACAAATATTTGTGTAACTTAAGGATGATAATCGTGCTTAAAGGCATTGACCGTTTCAAAGAAAGGGGAGGAAGTATGGGGCTTATAAAGCTCAGGGTTTCACTCCAAAGTCTGGAAGATTTTAGACAACGGATATGATTCAGGAAGTTGTGTTGTTTTTCAAAGAAATCTGCTTGTTTTACTTATCGGTCTTTGTTTTGCAAATATGGTAAACAGTACTGGAGAATTCCAAATGTCTTTGTAAACCTCAGGGGGCACCCTTAAGCTTGGTGATGTTTCTTTTTATCATTAAATTTTTTTGTTTGTTGCACTTATAAAACTACTACTTGTACTTGAGTAGGTCTCCTCATCTCTGTGAGTGGCCTGCACTTATAAAAACATAGTACTTAACAATAACACATAGTGCATAACAAGTTACAACACCTTTACACATTGTTACTGGGGCCATTCCCTTTTTGACTAGAATGTGTAATCTCCAAGCAGATCCATTTTGGTGGCAAAAAAGACAGTATCAAATTGGCCAGGCAGTATCCTTTAGCCAGAGAAGCTCCGCGTTGGTGGGGATCAGGACAAAAAAAAACCCGGCCATATATAAAAAGGTAACGATCATTCCCCCACAACCTCTGCTTGGAGAGTATAGAATGTGCTCCCTTTGCCTTTTTTGGCTGGGTTGTTTCATCCATTTTCTGTACAGGGGTGTCTACCCTGGGTTTCTGTGCAGCTAGGGCTGGGTTTTCCTGGGTTCACGTTGATTTGTTGCTTACATGTTACAGCCCTAGTCAAACATGGTTACTTGTTTGCAGAGATGACTTCAGAGCATGTCTGGTCCGCATCACAGTTTGCCTCCACTTGCAGAGACGAGCTGCAAAATAGTTGTCTGACTGTATCAGCTAAGGGATGGCCCTGGAAACTTGAGAAGATTTTATAAGATTGAGGTGAACAGAAAGCTCAGTAAGGACTTCAGCTGAAGGTGAAAATGAAAATTATTTAAAAAGAACCTGAGGATGAAAATGAAAAAGTTCTTAAAAAGTGGGTGGGGTTGGACTCAAGGGGCATTTCCACAACATTATTCTGTAATTCAACCACCCCTAATCTACTTCTTTTCAAGACTGAACAACCAAAGAAGAAGAAAGAAACTTTTGAATCCTAAGTTGGGTCAGTCTTGACTTCAGAATGACTTCCATCTTCATTGATACCTTTCCAGTAGTTTGCCCTTCCTTCATATCATCTTTGCTACAGCATCAAAACTGGGCATGAAAGCTGAGGGCACCTGCAACCTTTTCAGGTAGAAATATTACCAGCCACTGCCATTCTTTTTAAAAGCTCTTTAAAACTGTGACCCGGACACATGCGAAATGTCCATTTGCAGGACTGGAATGACTTTGAGATTTGTAAATTGTAGGCGAGATTTGTAGGTAAAAATGCAAAGTTGTGCCTGTAGCTTTTCCTTTTCAGGTGAAAATACTACCATCCACTGCCATTCTTTTTCTAAAAACACTTAAAAACTGTGATGTGGACACATGTGAAACGTCTGTTTGCAGGACTGGAATGAGTTAGAGATTTGTATTTGAGATTTGTAAGCAGAGGGCAAAGTTGTGCCTGAAACTTTTCCTTTTCAGGTGAAAATATTACCAGCAACTGCCATCCTTTTTCTAAAAACACTTAAAAACCGTGACCCATACACATGTGAAACGTCTGTTTTCAGGACTGGAATGACTTTGAGATATGTACATGAGATTAGTAGGTAGAGCGCAAAGTTGTGACAGGTGGAAAGGATATAGTCAGGAAGATTAGATATGAAAGGTCCCATGGTCTGAACCAATGGAGAAATTAATGGTAGTTTCCCCCCCTCAGGGAAGCCGGAATGGTTCTGACCTTGACCTATAGGAACTTTAGAGTATTAGCTTTGGGAATTTCCTGTCTCTCAGGACCGTTCCATTTCCCTGTGTCGAGGGGGTACGACGATTTTATGTCTGCTCTATTGATTTTATTTCTTCAGGCAGTTTGAGCATTTTTTTTAAATTAAAGAAGTTTTCAATAGGATTTTAAGCACAAAAAATGTCAATTGTAGAGAGAAAGGATAGTGCGTCTCTCTTCTGCAGAATAAAAAGGGACTGTCTACTTGTGACCCCCCTGTGCTTTCCTACTCTGTTATACATGTGATACTGGTAGTGTAATGCCCTGCAGTATCAAGTTGTTACCATACCAAGGTGATGATGTTAACTGCAGTCAGAGCTTAGAGAGCTGTCTGTTGCACTCAGCCTTACTGGCAGTGTATATTCCTGTTATGTAGCTTCTTTGGAACTTTTGCATTGTTCAGGTAAGTCTATTCTAGTCTAGTCTAGTTACAGCAAGATCTCAGATCATTATGTTATATGTAAGGACAGGGATATATACTGCTTCGAAACTGCTAGATCTCAGGTCATTGTTGCATGTAAGGCAAGGGATTCAACAATCAATTCCAAGATCTTGATATAGAACTAGTGTGTAATACCACAATCAAGGGTTAGGTGTAACAAGTCGATCGGTGTATTGTAGCCAGCTGCCGCCACGCCGCGTGCCTGCGAAGCTGGTGTGTTGCGCCGAGGGCGGTTATACCAGCTATATCGATACAGAATGAGATTATCAGTTTTTAATGTCCAGACTTGTATTACTGAAAAAAAAAAGATCCAACTCCAAGTACTGCTTATCTAGTTTACAAATATGACTTGAAACATGCTTCCAGCCCTACTTAGAAGTCATGACTTGTGATGTATTACTATATACATGCCAGAGTGCATTACCATTACCCATATGCTG